TTCTGTACATAAAATATCATTTTGTACAACATGTCTAAAGATAATGATGGAGCCGAGTGGCTGAAATTCCCACATGATACAAATGTGACTGATCCTGTGAAATAGTCAAAGGCCATCATTTGGAACAACAAAAAAAGTTGATATTTTGTTGTGATTTATCGTCAGTGTTTTGGCAGGAACTGCCCTAATGAAATTGTCCTTATGATTAAGAAGAACAGCGTTTATCGTGTACTTAGAATTTATTTCATGTAAATATCGATACGATGATGGCTTTTTCAGCAAAAACGCCAATTATGTATCAATTATGTCCCGGTTTGGGCTCTTTCCGACTTAATTGACAGGACTATGAGGTCCATAGAGCATTTTGAGTCTTGTCAATGCACCTTTGGTAGACGACAAAAACAACGCTCTTGAATTTGCAGTGAAAGCCGTTGTGATACTTTTATGAAGGAAAAATAGTTATTCACAATGAAGGATCATGCCCTTGCTCAAAAGAAACACAGACCGATATGTCAACAGAACTAAACGTCAAAATTGATTGAACAAATGGGGACAACAGATTTACACGTAGGTCCATGTAAAAGAATCGTGTGTTCCGGAAAAGTAAGCGTGTTCTACTTTGTCGACGATACCTGCTACGTAAATCTAGATCAATCCAAATAGTATCACGTTCCCAAATGGGAAGAAGGTAAACAACAACAGGATCACCAGATATGCTTACAACCATGAAACACATCCAAACTTCATATCGTAAAAGGAAATAGAATGTTTCCCTATGAGAACATTTTGACGACAATAACACTTTCAAAACAATGACACCCGCATGTATCTGTTGATACCCTGTGTTGTGAGTTTGTCTGTCTGATGGCAGAACGAACCCTTGAATATTGAAACAAAAGCGATGTGTAAACACCAAAGGATAAGGAAGCAGGGGGTTTTATCCAAAAATGTATCATACGTCTTATCCTTGGTATCGAAATCGGGTATGTATTCTTGGCGCATTAGTTTCGGACCCTTTATTACTCGTATCTCGGTAGAAATGCTACGTCGATAATTTGTAACCAAACAAATACGTAAACGTATCGAAATATGTTCATACTATGAAATGTATTCAATAAAGTGGTCAGCAAAATACCAGTAACATGTTTTTGAAAGATATCCGCCAAATTCGACCTCGAATTCCCTCGCATGAAATGACAGACATGTGGTTTGGAAACGTGTCTACACTAGTGACACACAAGTGCACAAATTTAATATAAAATCATCACTTAGAATGGGAATGACATTTCGATGAAATAAAAATGAAATCACACGAAGAAAAATATGGATGTCTGTCTCAGTGTTCTAAAGGGTAGGATTGCAGATTTTGCATTGTTTTATCTTTTTTTTTCTCAAATGAGCCACATATCTTATTTAATATTTTATTATGAATGGATTTAATCACAGATTTTGTTTCTTTTGGAAAAGGCAAATGTTACAGTAACCAAAATCACGCGGATTCCATTTCATGTTGGTCAATAGGTAACGTAATACGGTTCAACAAAATGGCCGAACCGAAATATATAACGGATCGGAACCGATGTCTAGACGATATAAACAATGAATATAGTCAATAAATGTCTGTTTATGTAACGACAAGGAATGACCTAAAGCAAACAGTCCCTGTAGCTGTGGCCTTCATCTAGAAGATCAAACCATATACTTAACGGATGTAGAAGCTGTCCCGACATGTCTTCACACGATTGGTTACATTATCACAATTCTTTAACAGTAGACTAAGTCTGGACTGCAGTCGGTGTATATAAACACTATAGGGAGCCATACACAACTGAAGCAGAAAAGTAGTTTGAGACGTATTTTATTAAATATGTAATACATAAAAAGCATGCATGTGTTAAGTGGATCTAATAAACAGATACACAAAATAAAATTAGCTCACATTAAATCGTAAATGATATAGAGGAAACCTACGAATTATGTCAGTGATTCACACCGACAAAGGAAGGTCATCACAAGTGAGTATTAATCATATCACAGAGCATATACTTATTATCTAATATTTTCTGTTTTTCGTATCAAAAGACAATATTATTTTTGTAATTAGTTTGCAATAACGTAATATTTTTTTTTATATTTCTTTCTAAAAAAAAAAAAAAAAAACGTTTTAGGAGATTGTGTGGTTATTAAAAATTATGATGGCAAGAGATTTAGTTTGCTTTCAATTTCGCCTCCTTCTTTTCGCGTTTTTGTCCTTGTCATCTCACTAACAGGGATAGATGTTATAAAGTAAACTGTAAACGAGTATCTTATATAATCACATTAGCCATTAAAATAATACTACGACTTTATATATCACCGAATAGATAATTAGTTAATTTGTCATGCATTGTCTAAATGTATTTTGATTATAGTCAATTTTTAGAAATAATTTGATTTAAATAAAATCAAACTGTTTTTTCCGCATTGTCTAAATGTATTTTGATTATAGTCAATTTTTAGAAATCATTTGATTTAAATAAAATCAAACTGTTTTTTCCGAATACTCATGTTTAATTTATAAGACTTGTTTGTTAACGAAGAAAAAACAACTGTGTCGAATGTCTACTTCCGGCGATTAGCTTTTATCACAATAAAACAATACCCACGTAACACCACCATCTTTGTTCCGATTTTTTTAAGGGTCGTGATATTGTTAATAGTCTCCAATGATTTACTTGCAACATCTTGTCCAGCCACTGATGGCTTGTCTCATTTTCTTTTCTTCTTGGTGGTTTTGGCAAATGTAATGATTGTCAGTGTTTTTAAAAATATTTTTTTTTTACAAATTACACAACCGTTATTAGCATGAAACTGCAAATCGTTGACTCAACATACACATACTTAACTTGCATTATTTCTCGTCGTAGTGTGAACGTTTCATTTTACTTCATCGTCATGAAAAAAGGGAAACTATGTTACAGTACAGTCAACGTGAAATATTTTGTCGTTCTTTTGAACGACACGTTTCAATCCTACAAAAACAATAATGATTTAAAAATATTTTCAATGTATCAAATAAATACACAAAAAATACATGTCCAGTGTCTTAGGATATAAACAGTATATTTGGCGAGGGAGATGAAAGGCAAAAGTGGCCAGCCTCTGTGGGATCGGAAACAAGTTTTCCAATTTGTATCAAATCCCCTTCAAAAATAATACACAACATTTAAATATTTACACAAGATCACATAAATCTAGATTCCATTGTAAATGGAATATACATGTAGAATATATTGTAAGTAATGTACATAGCAACCTTACGCAAAATTATATCTGCCTTATATCTGAGCTCTACACGAATATACATGTGAAGTATGGGACAACTGCGGTGTAATCAATTCTTTAATACTGGAAAATATACAGTTAGAAGCTGCAAGGATAGTCACAGGGATGCCCACGTACACAAAAACAGAAGTTTTGTATCGTGAAACCGGTTGGCTTCCACTTTCTAAAAGACGAGAAGCTCGCAAACGTATAAATGTTTATAGCATACAATTTTGTACCTAATAACCTCTCGGATTTATTACCAGCGGATATTGGAAATCTAGCTCTTACGGAGACCACAACATTTCTGTCTTTAATTGTCGCAAAATTCATTCTTTCCTTCTACAACAAAACCGGAATTATTAGGATAACAACATTAGAGACTCTCCTTTAATAAAGTCTTTACAGGCTAATGTAACAAAATCAATATGCACTAATTGCAATCTAAGCAAACAATTAACAAACTATGGAGCTAGAAAACATATTATTCTTCATTGTCGCATGAGAAATCGAGCGAGCACTCTTAATTATGATCTTTGCAGAGCAAATCTTATAGAGCCTGCCGAGTGTCAATGTGGACACATCCCTGTGAAGATTTATATAATTTTCTTTGTCCTTTACAAAATCTTACTGAACCGAGAATTACCATGGTACGACGGGGATATAATGTTGACATACTCTGTAAAGGTGATCTCAATATCTCACTACATGACAGTATAAAGATGGTGAAAGATGCACAGCATTTCCTGGGACGGTCGGGTAGATTCGATTTATCTCTCTCTATCCTCCCCCCTCTATCTCTCTCGTAAATTTATAATCTTTAGTTAGTTAAACCCTATGTAGTACTAATCATGTACATTTTCACATATAATGATTTTGCATCAATGGTTACAAGGTATTTAGTACAAATGATGATCATAACGCAATGATCATGTACATCTAGTTATTATCATATTTATTTTGATATATCAAAGGTTAATCATTGTTCATTATGGTAGTAAGACAATTACCTTATACATCTCTGATTATCATGTGTTAATTAATGTTCACAAGTTAACTAATATTACCAGAGAGTAATGGTTTTGCATGTATTGATATTGGTAATCTGGGCACAACACCTGTATTGATAGCCTGTATATCTGATTTCAGTGAAGAAGTTTAACAGAATATTTAAAACATTTACAAAGTTGTGATTACCTTTCTAACAAGAGGCTACAGTGATAAGCTTAAGGAAATCAAACGTATTTATACATATTTAAATCTAAATGTTCAATGTTAATAATCATATGGAAGAACTAGTTTCTCATACTACTGTTAAAGGCAGACGGGTTTGAAGGTCAATTAGAGGTTTGATGAAAATTTGGTTGGAAGTTGCATGAAGTTTCAGAAAAAGCCTGCCATCGTTTGTCTAAAATGATTCGGGTTTGCCCTGGGGTTTTACTAGGGACAGTTTCTTCATGATACGTTGACGGACTATCATGGGATCTTCAGTGATAGTTTGTGACGTGACAAAGGAAACAGTCTATCAAAAGTCCGCTAGCTTACAAATGTAATCAAATGGATGTTATTGCATTGATAACAGGGTAGTTATGTGATAAAATGACATTGCTTGTTTGATGTAGCGAACATGTCACCAGAACTATAAACTGGCGTTTTCACGATCAATGATATGAAACATAAACAGGATACTATGATTACTAATAAACATATTCCATATCGGTTATATCAATATCTTCATTTTTATTGTTCTTAGGGTTATCCCCCTTGTGTGTTTTACATCCTGTACTACTGCTCGCATCATTTCCGTCTCTGTCATCGTCGTTTTCGTTTGCTGAAGCAACCGCTTTACTCATTTTCCGGATAAGTAAAAACCTGGACGAAAGTGCACACACTCCAGCTGCGAGTATTGTGCTGGCGGCCAAATAGAAGGCTGCAGAGTATTCATCTTTCTTGTATCTGTTGTTAGCGTCCTCTGGAAGGATAATGGACACAGTCAATGTGCATTTATTGTATGCAGACTTCCAAAAGTAAGTCATACACTTTATTTATTTGTTTTACAGATTGACATACAATATTGCAGATTTTACATGTTATAACAACATCATGTCGAACTGATAAGAGGTTTTGGTTAATATTGTTCTCTGGAGAAGAAGTGGAAAATGTGTCAGGAAATCAGATGAAGGCGCATGATAGCATTCATGAAACTTTGGATCAATAAGGAAGAGAACATCAGATCAGATTTGCAAAGAACATTTTTTATCGAAATAGGAGTCATTTGTAATCGCAACAATTTGTCATCAGGTTACAAAATTGTCTCGGATACAAAGGAGGTCACAGGGGTTTAGGGAACAAAATGATTTAAAATAAGTAAAATTTCCTTTGAAGACATATATGAATTGATCATATAAGACATATGTTATATCAAATCAACAAGACAGTACCAACATTTAAGAATACTCAATCATAATCCAAACTGAAATTCAATGAAATTATTTACATGCAAATTTCTGAAAATTACAAGGAAAATAAAACCAGTCCTTACGAAAGATTTAGCGTGTTCTCCTTCATCAATGACAACGCCATGTAAATCCTGGTCATGTTATGTTCTCAAAGGATACAAAAATATACGACAGCGGAACCAGCGTAAAAATTAAAGAGCATGTCCAGAAGAGATAGAACATTTGTCAATGAGATCACTATGATATCCTTTTTGTCAAACTGATGATTACAATACATACACTCACGCTCTTGAGTGATTTGTGCGCGTATGAGCAGTATAATAGTTTTTAATAATTTTTAATCTCTCTCCACGTCACTTCATCATGTGTATGTCTTCTTTTTATAAACTGTTCATATATGTATAAATTAGGAGATTTAATGAAATACGTGGCAAGTGAACCCCCTATAGATAGATTTTGACTTTTCTTTCGTTCACTTTTGCTTTTGCTCACTAATTTCCTAGGCCTTAGCAACACTGACGGGACCTAGACCTAGAAATATGGAATATCTATATGATGCAGTTTAATCCATTGTTCGACTCTACTGTATCTAAGTCTTAATTTGCACTAAAAGGTGTTATCCAACGTAAATGTGCATGGTTGTTTCAAAGTTATCTTAAAGTAGGTGATAATAGTACCTGCTGCCATGGAGGCGACAAGCTCACCGAGTCCTGCTGAAAATCCAAAGAATCCTGCAACAATTCGAGTATTTCTATCTCCAAATGTGTCGGGTATGGTGTTCTCGATGAGAGAGATGATGATCACTGAAGAAGAATATCGCTTTTTTCAATAAAGAATATTTTAATGGTTTTTACTGAATATGATAATAAATTTATCGGTTTTATGAGGAGATAAATACTGTTGTTGATATGAAACACAGAAGGAAAAAAATAATTGCGGAATTTTTTAACATATATAGCAAGGATCTGACCTTTAGTGATCCCAAATGTGATAGAGTAGACGGCGACCCATCCATACTTGTCATAGGCAGGCATTTGTAGCGTTAGATACCCTACATACAGATCCATAAACCCAAAGACCAGTAAGCTGACGTTTAGTCCTTTAGACTTCCAGAAGAAAAGAGAAATCGCGCCCAGCAGCGTGCCGAAAGGGAGTAGGAGGATCTGAATGAGGTTCTCCATCAAGGTAAACGATTTATCTGTCATCAGAGCATTTATATAATCTGCTGGTATGCCTCGACCTGTGATACATAAAAGAAAACCGTTAAAGCTTTCTATTCAAGATGGAATGTGCGAATGGCGGGAATTATTTTGTACTTTATGTTTTATCATTTTGTTTAAATGAAATTATTATGTTACAAATTTTGTAATTATGCAAGAGTAATTCAGGGTAACTAAGACAATGGTTATCTTCTTACCAAACTGGTCGAAAAAGAAAGCCAACATGACTAAATAAAACGTAATGTCTTTGAACAGCTGAAAGGTGGAGATCCCTAGAGTCCTTTCCACAAAGGTCCGTCCGCCTTTGTCTTCTTTCATCTTCAGCTGCAAGGGCTGAAGGTATATAGACACGGACAGACCGACAGCTCCCGGTATCAACATGCACATAAAAGCGGTTCTCCAATTAATCATGTAACCTTTCATTAGCAGATCTATGTAGACGGCAAAAATGATTATGGAGACAACGATAGCACACAGTCTCGATATTGTTATAGCCCTGAGGCGTTTTCTCTCAAAGTACTCCAGTATCGGTATTAAGGAACAGAGGTACCAGCAAGCCAGACCGAGACCTGTTGTAGATAAAGTTGCACGTGATAAATGTAAATGTTATGATAGTTCGTACAGGTAACGACAATTGTGTTAATGCCACATTCAGTCGTTTTGCATAAAAAAAATCAAATTTATTTCACACTCTTTTAAAAATGATAATTTTAACCAATCATAATATGATATGATATCCTAGCGCGGTGTGCATTCTTGGTAGTTCGGTAGGACCCTTGTGCATCAGTTTAAGCTTTGCATTGATTCTCTTCTGATACCCAATGACGGATTTTAATTAATAATGGTCATAATTACAAGTTTCAGGGATACAACAGCCTGTTTTCAAACATTATGAAATCACTTTTCGGTAAGCATTTATGAAAAGGTCCTTCAGACAGAAATAGACATGACTAAAGAATTTCAACCAATGCACGTTTAGTTTATTGTCACATCTGAAAATGCGCTGAAATACGTTTCAGTGTAGTTTTGCTTAAATTATGGTATCTGTAAAATCAAATGCTATATTTTTAGACACCATACTTCGAGTTGAAGTCGTTGTTAGCTCACCTTGCCCTTCGGATTTCAACTTTTCCTATTAATCACAACTATTCGTGAACAACTCAATTTTAATCAAACTTGGTCTGAAGCATCTTTAGGGGGAAAGTGGGTCTGGGTCCCCCGAGGCACGAGAGTCGGGCGCCCAATAGGGGAAATCTATCATTTTTTTTTCAAAATATCTGTCTTGTTCTTTAGGAATTGCAGAATGTTGTCAAAATTTGGTCTGAAGCATGCTTGGGTAAAGAAAAATCAGTTCACCTAATCATGCATGCTTTCATGTGTACCGAGGCGAATTCATGCGCGCACGTGTGCATATGTTTGTGTGTATATATAAAGTTTGTATGTATGTACGTATGCATGTATATTTATGTGCGTGCATATGTATGTGTGTTTGCATGCATGTATATGAGGATGCTTGTATTCATCCATGAATCTATATATTCATGCAAATATGTATCTTTGCCTGTGTGAGTGTGTAAGGATGTTTCAATACATGTTTGTAATATGAAAAAAAATCAATGTTGTAAAAAAGGTGGATCTTAGCCCGGTAGGGCGGAAGGGGTTTGGCTGAATAGAGGAAATAGGTGAAAGCCTTTATAAAATAATTCTTCTTATTTAGGAATCACTGAATTCAGTCCCAAGTTGGTCCGAGACATGCTAGGATGAAAGGGATCAATTCTGGGGCGTGATTGTTGGGGCCAAATAGTGGAAATAGAGCGAATTCGTCAAATCCTTCTGATTTCGGGACTGAATATATCCTTAATGAAGAGGACAATCAGTGCATCTAACCTCCTTTTGGAGGAGGGTTGAGCCTATTACGGGGAAATAGATAAAAACGTTTTCCCCTTAATACAAATAAATCAATTTCAGCAAACTGAACAATGTGAGTGATACAGGTCATTTGGGCCTCTTACTTCATGTATCATAAACATGGACTTATGTTATCTAATGAGTGAAATCAAATGATCTTTTTCTGATAATTTTTTGAACGTTTTTGAACGTTAAGATTTTGGAAAGTAAATTAAAACACATTAAAACACATATATGTTTTGGCATTATTCATATAAGATAAAAGCGCCAGATTTAGTGTTACACTTACTCCCTTTTGTATATTTTTCTGATTTTTTTCTGAATAACAGACATTCTTTGTTTCATTAAAAGGTAATAGTATGATAATTGAGAAACTGATAATGAGAAAATACAAAGAAACCTACTCAGTCAGTTATGTAGTCCATGATCGAAATTTCTTCAAAACGTCTTATAAATTGCCCTTTTCAGTTCATGGGTACAACTGTATCACTAAGTATATAAAAACACACAAGTCCCAGATATTACGTTGAAATTAATTTCATATTGAATCTTGTTTTTCTTCCGGTCTTATATCAGAGGAGAACATCCTTTTGTTAAAACTTACCTGCTAATCCTCCAAGAAATACGCCCATTAGTCCTGACAAATCGGGGGTCAGGAAACCGGAACTGAAGAACCCCACTGCCACCATGACTGAACCGATGGCATTTACCATCCGGTAATCAAACTTAACTATAGCAACGGCTACGAAAGGCGCTGTAACAATGACAATCAACACATGTTTAACTGTAATCTATGTAGTTTCCGAAACCCAAACCTCCTCCTTATGCTAGAGAGTGAACCATAAAACCCACCTTTCTCGTTTGATAGACGTATTGTGATATCATCCAGGTACGGCAGGATAAACCAGCAGAAATGTATCTTCTTTTTAACGGTATTTTTATATAATATATCTGTATATATATATATATATATTGCGATTTATGAGTGCCACTCAGTCACATTAACACACAGGAGTTGGAAAAAGAATCAAAAGCTCTGGGACTTAGGGATCTAAAAATTGATTTTAACATCTGTTAATCAGCGTTTCATTTCACAAACCGAGTAATGGAGTTTCACTTATCTATATCATGTTATGTTTTTTTATTCTAATGACTTCAGCTGGAACTATCTGGTCTGGAGACAAGTTCCTGAGAGGGCATCTACAAGAGCGACCAAGAATACAAAGAAAGGCAAGGCTTTTATTAACAGATAAAAAAGAAAGCACAACTATCCAAATGCTTTAATTTGTCTAATGGTCTCAAAATGAAAGGAGTGATATGATTTACACGGAGACCTTTGAAAAAAGCATCATACATAATTTTTTTTTCTGTTTTTTACGGTACCTTCAGAACAGGAAAAGTAGTCGTTACCTGCTAGATGTTGAATTTTCAAGCATGCTGTGGTGATGTTGTCAATCACATCTTCGCCAAAGTCCTTTTTCAGACCCGAATTGCTTAATGATAGTATTAGTACACATGTGGTGCTGCATGCGTTGAGAATTCCACACGCGGCAACTATTTTCCAAGCAACAACACCGCCGTCTGGTGGTTTTTCGACGGTAGAACCAGCTGCTGGTAACTCAAGCGTAAGATTTCCATCTGCGACTTCAATTTCAGTTCCTTCCTGAACGTTTTGGAAGAAAAATTGTATAACAAATGTATATACAAGGGATAAAGAAAGGCTGGGTGACATTATTTGCAATATCTTGCGCATGTCTTGTTCAAAAACAATGAAAATCGGCCAAGCAACTCTCTAGGTTACAGTGCACGGGGTCTTTTATCGAATGTTGCATTATTGTACTGCGTGACGTGCACAGCAGTGTTGTGACATTGAGTTACACTGCTCGTCAGACCATTAGGTAGTCTTCAAAGAGACACATAATTTTCGATATTTTGATTAATTTCTGATAGCATTAAACAATGGCACGGCTGAAGGAAGTTCAGAAGGGTCAGGCAATTGCGATGATTATGCAAGGTCAAAGAAAATACAGGTTTCCAGATATTTCTGTTTCTATGTTTGCACTATAGAACGTCTTGTTCGACGTCTAAGGGAAACTTGGCGGGTCGCTTACAGACCTAGATCAAGGCGTCCGCGCGTGACGACACATCGTCAGGACAGGTTTATTCGTTTCGCACATTTGCGCAATCGGTAGCTTACTGCTACTGAATCTGCCCTTCATACCATAGGTAATCACAAGTCAGAAGTTGGTCTGCGGGCACGTCACCCGTTTGTAGGTCTACCACTTATCGCTGCTCGTCGCCATCGTCGTATGGCTTGGGTGGCGGTACATGCCCCCCGAATATTTCCATTGAGGGTCTTCTTTACTGCTTCACCCTGTTTCGAGCAGATGGTCGACGTCTTCTATACCGACGTCATGTTTAGCCAATTGCTGATTAGTAGAGAAGGATAGGTTTGGAGTGATCGGTTTTGGTATAGGGAGGAATCTCACATGGAGTTTAATCACCACTAGTCGATAACGGCCCCATTTTATCCCATTCTTGCAGGAAAACAACATTTCAGCAGGATAATGTTTGAACCCATATAGAGAGATTCTGCCGCAACTTTCTCTCTAACAACAATATCCACCCATACAGCCTCGACCATTTCCCTACTGAACACTTATGGGACCAGCTGGATAGACATGTTCGACAAAACCAGCCTCCCCTGTTACTCTGGTCCAACTTAGAGCAGCCTTTTTGGAGGAATGGGTCAACATCCCAATAAGGAGGATAAACTCAGTCATGAGCTTCATGCCTAGGAGAATCAGGGCTGTGGAGAGAGAGAATGGGGACATACCCGGTATTGACTAGCCAGTCCATTTCGATTTCAGATTACAGAGTTCTCTTTCAATTCCCTTCAATTACTCCTAAATTACTTACCAGATCTTCATGCTTACTTTAAAATATTGAACACTATATACTCGAGGTCTTGTCTAGAATCATCTTCAGAGTTCAGCATGCGTTTCTTTAGCCCTTGAGTATATAATTATTTCATTGATTTGATTTCTTAACACGAAAACTGACATTTCATACATATATTCTGATTACAGATATGAAATTATTACCAAGAAAGAACATATACAGAAACGACGAGGACAGAGCTGTATTACCTGTGTAGATTGTTCATTGGCTCTGTGAGGTGTATCAGTGGCCACGGCGGTCGGGTTAGGTTTGATATTTTTCTTCCCTTGCTGTTGTCGATCTCCTAGAAAGTATTTCGGAGGTGTTGGTGGGGCTGGGGCCACAGATTGTTGGTAAGAATCTGAATTTTGAGTGTTCACGTTCTTTGCAAGACTCATCTGTCCGGCACGTACTTGGGACGAATTGAAAGTATATGTTGGAACACTGGAGCTCTGTGTTAAATATAACACAAGGTTTATACCAACAGGAAGAACACTATAATAAGAATGATTATGTAACACATGTCATAAAATCAATGTGGTTCAGCATCAAATTTTATATAAGGGTGATTCAGAAACACACGTTACATCATCATATAGTAAGCGTGTGGTTCAATAAAACACATTATATAATCAGTGTGATTCAGAAACACACGTTACATCATCATATAGTAAGCGTGTGGTTCAATAAAACACATTATATAATCAGTGTGGTTCAGAAACTCACGTTTCATCATTCTTTTGGCTTAGAAAACACATGTAATATTATCAATGTGGTTCAGTAAGAAACGTTATAAAATCAGTGTAGCACACGTTATATAATGTGTGATTCAGTAAAGCACGTTATGTGATAAGAGTGGTTCCGTATCACATGTTATATTTAAGGATTGAATCTTGCTTATGATAAGTTGATCTTGAGACAAATTCAACATGAACTGCTTCAACTCAATTCATTATCCCATGAAATCGACATAAGCAAGATTCAATCCTTACATTCAATTCACGCTTCCTTTTTCTATAGCATGGGAACTGACGCAATTTATCTTCTACTTGCATTTTCGTTTCTTGTCATGATATCGTCTGACGTTATACTAGCAAATAGTCCGTCATTTGAAGACAGATTGTTGTGACAGGTTGAAATATGTTTCAGCGTGGTTATTTAAAATTCAATGAAACTGAAATAAGAACAAAATTTAACATATTTTTTCGACAACTTGAATGAAAATTTAAATAATAGTGTGCAACAAAGACAGTATGCATTTTCCTGCGCGAAGGAATAACGTCTAGCATGGTCGCCGGTTCGCAAACGAAGCGGTGTCGGCCTTTTTTCTTACAGACGCCGAAGCGGAGAGCAAGAAATATCAGGCTTCAGTCACTTCACATCTTTTGAAATGTAAAGTTACAGTTATTAAATGTTGAATTATATTTAGTAATTACAAAAATGACCATAGCACACATAATTTTTTTTTTTTTTTTTTTTTCAATTTCAATAGTTTATAAATTTTTATTTTGATGTTTTTAAATCTCATACTTGTGGAATATTGCCAGTCTAGTAGAAGTTGGGGAGTTTTCTCCCCTTACCTAATATTTGTATTCATACGCAAAGGCAATGTCAATCTGGTCAAATTCATAGGTAAATGAAGCAGATCACATTTAGTAGTTTCATTGATTCTGATTTGGGTAGAAATTGAAATATAATCAGTGTTGCCCAGTAAAACACATTATATAATCAGTGTGGTTCAGTAAAACACGTTATATTATCAGTGTGGTTTAGTAAATCACATTATATAATCAGTGTGGTTTAGTAAATCACATTATATAATCAGTGTGGTTTAGTAAATCACGTTATATTATCAGTGTGGTTTAGTAAATCACGTTATATAATCAGTGTGGTTTAGTAAATTACGTTATATAATCAGTGTGATTCAGTAAATCACGTTATATAATCAGTGTGGTTTAGTAAATCATGTTATATAATCAGTGTGATTCAGTAAATCACGTTATATAATCAGTGTGGTTTAGTAAATCATGTTATATAATCAGTGTGGTTCAGTAAATCACGTTATATAATCAGTGTGGTTTAGTAAATCACGTTATATCATCAGTATGGTTCTGTAAACGACATTATATCATCAATATGGTTCTATTAAAGACATTATATCATCAGTATGGTTCTATCAAAGACATTATATCATCAGTATGTCATCAGTATGGATCTGTTAAAGACATTATATCATCAGTATGTCATCAGTATGGTTCTGTTAAAGACATTATATCATCAGTATGGTTCAGTAAAAGACATTATATCATCAGTATGGTTCTGTAAAAGACATTATATCATCAGGGTTGTTCAGTAGCGAAAGACATTATATCATCAGGGTTGTTCAGTAGCGAAAGACATTATATCATCAGGGTTGTTCAGTAGCGAAAGACATTATATCATCAGGGTTGTTCAGTAGCACACGTAATACAATCAGTGTGGTTCAGTTATACAGGTAAGTTCATTAATAGCGGTTTTACAATCACTGCTTCCGTTGTTACATGCTAAACAATTAGTGTTACAAGTTATATTATCAGTGTTGTCCAGTGTTACACGTTATATCATTAGGGTTGTCCAGTGTTACACGTTATATTATCAGTGCTGTCCAGTGTTACACGTTATATTATCAATGCTGTCCAGTGTTACACGTTATATTATCAATGCTGTCCAGTGTTACACGTTATATCATTAGGGTTGTCCAGTGTAACACGTTATATTATCAGTGCTGTCAAGTGTTACACGTTATATTATCAGTGTTGTCCAGTGTTACACGTTATATCATTAGGGTTGTCCAGTGTTACACGTTATATTATCAGTGCTGTCCAGTGTTACACGTTATATTATCACTTTTGTCCAGTGTTACACGTTATATTATCAGTGTTGTCCAGTGTTATCTGTTATATTATAAGTGCTGTCCAGTGTTACACGTTATATTATCAATGCTGTCCAGTGTTACACGTTATATCATTAGGGTTGTCCAGTGTAACACGTTATATTATCAGTGCTGTCAAGTGTTACACGTTATATTATCAGTGTTGTCCAGTGTTACACGTTATATCATTAGTGATGTCCAGTGTTACACGTTATATATCAGTGCTGTCCAGTGTTACACGTTATATTATCAGTGCTGTCCAGTGTTACACGTTATATCATCAGTGCTGTCCAGTGTTACACGTTATATTATCAGTGCTGTCCAGTGTTACACGTTATATCATTAGGGTTGTCCAGTGTAACACGTTATATTATCAGTGCTGTCCAGTGTTACACGTTATATTATCAGTGCTGTTCAGTGTTACACGTTATATTATCAGTGCTGTCAAGTCTTACATGTTATATTATCAGTGCTGTCCAGTGTTACACGTTATATCATTAGGGTTGTCCATTGTTACACGTTATATTATCACTGTTGTCCAGTGTTACACGTTATATCATCAGTGCTGTCCAGTGTTACACGTTATATTATCAGTGCTGTCCAGTGTTACCCGTTATATCATCAGTGTTGTCCAGTGTTACATGTTATATCATTAGGGTTGTCCAGTGTTACACGTTATATCATTAGGGTTGTCCAGTGTTACACGTTATATTATCAGTGTTGCCATTGTTACACGTTATATCATCAGTGTTGTCCAGTGTTACACGTTATATCATCAGTGCTGTCCAGTGTTACACGTTATATCATTAGGGTTGTCCAGTGTTACACGTTATATTATCAATGCTGTCCAGTGTTACACGTTATATCATTAGGGTTGTCCAGTGTTACACGTTATATTATCAGTGCTGTCCAGTGTTACACGTTATATTATCAGTGTTGTCCATTGTTACACGTTATATTATCACTTTTGTCCAGTGTAACACGTTATATTATCAGTGCTGTCCAGTGTAACACGTTATATCATTAGGGTTGTCCAGTGTTACACGTTATATTATCAGTGTTGTCCATTGTTACACGTTATATTATCACTTTTGTCCAGTGTTACACGTTATATCATCAGTGCTGTCCAGTGTTACACGTTATATTATCACTTTTGTCCAGTGTTACACGTTATATTATCAGTGTTGTCCAGTGTTATCTGTTATATTATCAGTGCTGTCCAGTGTTACACGTTATATCATCAGTGCTGTCCAGTGTTACACGTTATATTATCAGTGTTGTCCAGTGTTACACGTTATATCATCAGTGCTGTCCAGTGTTACACGTTATATTATCAGTGTTGACCAGTGTTACACGTTATGTTATCAGTGTTGACCAGTGTTACACGTTATATTATCAGTGTTGACCAGTGTTACACGTTATATTATCAGTGCTGTCCAGTGTTACACGTTATATTATCAGTGTTGTCCAGTGTTACACGTTATATCATCAGTGCTGTCCAGTGTTACACGTTATATTATCAGTGTTGACCAGTGTTACACGTTATATTATCAGTGTTGTCCATTGTTACACGTTATATTATCACTTTTGTCCATTGTTACACGTTATATTATCACTTTTGTCCAGTGTTACACGTTATATTATCAGTGTTGTCCAGTGTTACACGTTATATCATCAGTGTTGTCCAGTGTTACACGTTATATTATCAATGATACCAGTATTACACGTTACATCATTTGTGTGTTTATTCGATCTGGAGACCTTTTCATTGATTTTTGTGATATGATATTCAAAGATAATGTTTGAGCCAATTTTTTGTTGTCGTTTTTTTTTTTTTTCATTTCGTTGTTTTATTCAATACAATGACAGGTACATAATATAGCAGTAGTATATACATGTGAAAAGCGCACCTTCACTAACATACATTTTCACGTCCATGGATGCTTGTATACATGACCACACACATACAGATGTACATCAAGAGAATACTTGCATGTATACACATTACATGTACAAGTAATACATACATGCAAATAGGCATACACCATACACCTAATAGAACAGTTACCCGTGTAAACAAGGACATGTATATGCATGTACATATACGCACTCACACTTAGTAGTTAATTAGACTTATTCATAGTTATAATGTTGTTATAGAGAGCTGTTGTTGTGAGGAGGAGGAAGTCTTACTTTACATTGTATTGCTTTGTTTGTTTTTTTAAGACGAAAGTGAAAGAATAGATTAGAATAAGAGAGAAAATGATATGTTGTTATTCTATATTCATTTTGAGATATTTATTTTAGCGAAGAGCTTTCGTGACACAGTGGACTAATCAAATACATATACAGCAAAGCAACTTAGATGCAATGGAAAAGATGGAAGAAAGTATGAATTAGAAGGGACAGGTGCAAGAACAGAAGACAAGAAGAAGAGATTGAGAAGATAGACAAAGGAAAAATGAGAATAAACATGATATGGAAGGAACATGACAGGATTACTTATCCAGAAAATCATTATTTAAGGACGAATGACTCGATTTGTATCAACATTCCTGTCACGGTTGATTTATCTGAAGACATGGAGAAGTTATAAACGTTGCGTTGGTCTTGTTAACCACTAGAGAATTTTAATTAGATTAAACACTCGTTTGCTAGTCACTACATCCTGTTGCCTCATGTGGGAAAACGTGCATATGCTTATGAAGATAATACTTTTCAGTTATGATCAATGTACACCTGTTCCGTAACCATTCGCCACATTATCCTTCTCTTCGGATAACTCAAAGCTATCTTCTGCATAAAGGATGGCCTCTAAACTCTCTAGTGGAACACTGTCATCTTGCTGTGAACACCAGGTCTCGATGTTCAACAGTTTATCATAATAAAAGTCTCTCTCTTTCTCCACAGCCCTAACTGTCATATATAACTCCTCCATTCGAAGACCAATCATTACAAGATCCTCCATTTCTGTTCTTCGTTTCTGCTCCATCGAAGAATACGACGCATGGCTTACTTTTGAGTCATCGTTAATCAAGCGACCGACGTCAGATATTCTTTCACTGATTGTAGCACTAGGAGGTTTGATAAATGAATTTGAGCGCGTGCTATCAGCTGGGATTTGGAGACTTATACTGCAGGAAGAGACTGCTGTTAATCGACCCTGTCTAGTTTTATTGTGAACGTTGACCATATTTGCGGAAGTCGGTACACTATCTGTCTCGGAGTTCAAACCATTAGGACTCTCGAAGTGTGGTACGATTCGCGAGGTTTCACTGGGGTCAGATTGCTTAATGTTCCAACATCGGTTTCGTGATTTGGTCTCTCTGACAGATCTGTCTGTACAAGGACGGCTGTAGTCCGAACCAAGTGAAAGCCCGAATCGTGCCTCAGATGCATTGTATATCCGGTTGCCATCGTTAGCATCAAAAAATTTCTTAAACCAAACAAGGAACTCGTAATTGTCCTGAAATTTACCTTTAACGAGACGCTCTACTGGAATGTCTTTGTTTATACCAAGACCCATAAAGGCAGTTTGCAGAAGCTTGTAATTCCGAATAAATTCGTGTTCCAGCTTGGTAGCAAAAAGCACACGCTTCAGGTTTACCACCCCAGGGTATAGAATGTCCATGAACTGACAGTAAGCCGCTCCCGTGCACAAATCCTCAATCCGATCGTACGTTCCATCCAGCTTGGTGTTTACCCAGTTCAACAACTCCTTCCGGCTAAAGTTGTCAGTGTGGTTTCCATTGTCGTACACATTCAGTGCCATTCTTAAATTGTTTAAATGTCAGCCAGAAGGTCAACCTTTTTATCAAACCACCATGGCACTAAACTAAAGCTGTCTGTTGAAAATAAATCAATACCTTACGAGGTATTTGTAAAGTCCCTGATCCTGCACAGCAGCAGCAGTAGGGATACCCGTTATCTCTACAGTTAATGTGATGTGTCTATGTAGCCAGTGCGGTCTTCGTCTGTTATATGAATAATTTAGGCATACGCGAGTATGCCTACTCTAGTGTAACTACACTACTAAGACTGCTTTCAGTATGGATATAAATGTAAATGTTCCTTAACCTAATAAATGAAAACTGTTGTCACCATATGAAAATGATTATGTATGAAAGCTTGGTACAATCTTTTTTATGTAACGAGTAATTTATGGAACGAAAATATTCAACACATCAAGATGAAAAACCTTCAGGCTGTATGTGCATGGTTTTGTGTACGTTTCCGTGTGGATGTCATAAAAATCGTTTCTGTCATCTATAAACATTAGTGTACTCTACCGAAGAAGAATGATATATTCTTTTTTATTTCCACTTGGATTGACGATGTTATGAAAATTTAATGATGATACTTTTTCTAAACCAAATCAAACAGAAAGATATATCAAGCGGCTAGACCGCATTAAACCATATCGTAAATACAGGAACCACAGCGGCTACACCACAGCGAAAACACCAATAACAAATGTAGGTTGAACCGTGTGGTAAGGCCACGAGAATAATCAAAGGCACTAACATTGACATAATAATTATGTCGTGTGGCAAGGTCACAGTGGATGATTAAAAATAAAGGTAACAAGTGAACAGGGCGGCGCGGCATAAGTGATAGCTTGTATTCATATTAGAAACATGCATATGTTCACTAACGGACAAATGTGGCTATGCCATAGGGATATTTATAGTTAAAACAGTTGATCAGGGAATAAAGTCATAAGTAAGAGTCCGTGATACAACGGGTATAAAAAACAAGATTAATATGGTGACGGTCATAATAAAGGAAACATGCCACACTTGTTATATAATAGTGCATATACCAGGCTAGGGAGTTTAATACAGTCAAACTTCGATAATTCGATATTCAAGGGACCGTCATAAAAATATCGATACATCGGGACTTCGATACAAAAATAGTTCAGTCAAATAGCTGGTCCACGTAATAGGGGTCCATATTTAAAAGTTTTTTCATTATGTTTTAGACAAAAGATAACAATTATGTGTGTATTAATGATTTAAATAAAGACTCAACAATCAAAAACAGTTAAATTGAATTTTATTACGACCAAACAACAATAAATAACATGAAACATTCGAAGTACATGGCAATGAAGTATCACACGCAAATGACGAAATGGGTAAATGTATTTTACGGAACAGAAAAATCACATGTCACGAAAAGCACGAAATTGGCACTGTCAGTTATTTAGTACTCATAAACACTCACCATTAGCACTAAAACACAAATAACACATTAATCAGTCACACTTAGAAACGTTCCAAAGAACTCACTCAGGGTACACTGTTTTCTCTCGAGGAGGAAATACTGTTGGATGGAATAACTGACGTCGGCAATCTGTGAGGCGGCTGAGTCTGTATTATTCCCGATGCCCGTCTGCTGGAGAAAATCTCGGACTGTATCTAGGGCGTTCATGGCGTCATGGATGGTTTGCTTGGTCGTTGGCAAGGAATCGTCGTCATCGTCATCTTCAGCTTTCGGTTGGCGTTGGGACACGATGCTTTCTAAGATGTCGCTGTCGGTCATCTCGGCACAGGTAAGGGCTTGGTCATCAACACGTGCGTAGTCAGTAAAAGATACACCAGTGGACAGCTTTCTCAAGACAGCTAGTGGAATGTCGTCGTCATCATCGTCGTCGACATCAGTAGGGGTGGCAATGGACTCACATGGCGGGGAGTCAGGCAGTACGAAACCGGCATGTCTGAAGCAGTTGGAGATTGTGGCTGGGGTAACTTGTCGCCAGGCATTCTTTAGCATGTAGAGGGCATCTAGGACTGTAATGGTTACGTCTGTCGAAGTGTCTATGGCCCGGAGCTTTCGTTGGATGACCAGCTTTCTGTAGTGGGTTTTCAGGTTACGGATCACGCCCTGGTCCATTGGTTGGGTGTGGGAGGTAGTGTTTGGTGGTAGAAATACTAGCTTGACGGATTTCGAACCCGTTAACTGTGGGTGGGCTGGACAGTTGTCTACAATGAGCATGATATTGCGTTTTTTAGTAGACATTTTTCTGTCTAATTGATTCACCCATGTAGTGAATAAATCACTAGTTACCCATGCAGTTTTATTCGATTCGTATTGAACCGGGATATGCTTAATGTTCTTAAAGCATCGGGGTTTTTTAGACTTGCCAATGACTAATAGTGGGAGTTTATCAGTGCCCCGTGACACTTTACATCTTTAAACTCAAGTGTCTTATCGGGTAGCAGCCGGAAAAAAATACCGGTTTCATCGGCATTGTAAATATCACAGGGCTGATATTCTTGAAGAATAGACTTCAATTTAGTCTGCCAATCAAGCATTTGATTGGATTGGGAGTCAACAGATTTTGATTCCCCACAGACTTTCTTAAATGAAAGATTATTTCTTTCTTTAAAGCGGTCTAACCAGCCTGTAGATGATTCAAAGTCAGATAGGCCTAATTTGGTAGCAAACTCTTTTGCTTTAAGTTTTACTACTTCCCCAGATAGTGGAATATTCTGAGATCGTACCTGGGCGAACCATTTAATGAGTGCGTTTTCTAATTCTGGAAATTTTGCTTTTTTATCTCTTTTTCTAGATGACCCGATATCAGCGGCAAGAAATTTTTCTTTTATTGAAACCTTATTCTTAACCCAGGTAGATAGTGTGTTTTGTGGTACCCCGTACTTGTTGGCAACAGCTTTATTTTTAATCCCATTCTCAATGTCAATAATGGCTTGGTACTTAATTTCGTAGGTCTGCAGATTCATTTTTCTCTTTTGGCCCCTGCCTGATCCAGCCGATCTAGTTATCCCCCCGTTAAAAACGGGTCCTTCACCAGATTGCTCAGCTGAGTTAAAATGGCTAGCTATCCCCCCCCCGGATTGGTTACCGGGTCCTTCACTAGACACTTTGTGATCAGTAGGAGATTCCATGATTAATGTTTTACCGGTTACACATGATAATTTATACGGAAATCAACTCAAACATTGAGTATGAGCAATGCAACCAAGCCATCTCTCTAGAGAGTAAGGTGCGTTCCGCATGTTTTTACAGTACGGTAATTAGTACAACCATAACATCTCAAAATGGCGTCATGTGATTTGACAATAATAACACTTGCCTCAATTCGGCGTGTGTATGTATCAATCTTTCTAACATAGCATATATTACTGTTCAAACTAATTATTGGTCATTGACTAATTGTATACAAGAGGTGGTAAAATGCCATTGTCCTGATCGACCGTAACGATAAACAAAAGATTAACCCTGGAGGGTCTCGCTACAGGTGTGAATTTGTTTCGGTCGACTGACCATCGAGCACAGTGACCACAGGTAAATTTTGATCGATTTCTTCATGGTGATTTTGAACGAATTTATATGACTTGTACTGTAGAAAATTATCGAAACACCGAGAATATCGAAACATAAATGATCGATTCATGAGTAGTGAGTTAAGTAGAAATATATAAGGAAAATAGTCGGGACCAAGTAAAAATATCGACACAGCGAGAATATCGAATCATCGAAGATCGATTCATCGAAGTTTGACTGTAATACAAAAGCTAGGAGTACTATAGAGAGAGAGAGTACTGTTGCTCTGCATAGACCTTATATACCTGGCACCACCTTAGACTACAGGGAAAGTACATTTTGAAATACGTACTCTGCCGTAGCTAAAAATATCAATGACGTCGTCAAAACCAACCCGTCAGTCGAATTACATACTCAACCAAACTCCACAACCTCAATGACGTCGTCAAAACCAACCCGTCAGTCGAATTACATACTCAACTAAACCCCAAAACCTCAATGACGTCGTCAAAACCAACCCGTCAGTCGAATTACATGCTCAACTGAACTCCACAACCTCAATGACGTCGTCAAAACCAACCCGTCAGTCGAATTACATACTCTACTAAACCCCACAACCTCAACGACGTCGTCAAAACCAACCCGTCAGTCGAATTACATACTCTACTAAACCCCACAACCTCAATGACGTCAGTCAAAATAAAAAAAGAAACCAAGACAGGAAAAGATAGAGAAATGGTAACTAAACAAAAATGATGACGTCACACACCCCTAATTGGCTGAATGGTTCATTCTCACTTAACCAACATCTTGAAATTTACCTGTACTACCTGGCCAACATCAATGTATTTACAAATGTTTTAATCAATATTTTTTTTCAAAACGACAGATTCAGAACTGAAAACGCAAAAAAATCTATTCCGTGCTACCAGTAATTCTAAGATATATAATATCCTATTAGATGTTTTTGTGTCTTTTGTTAATCACTTATATAATTGATATAATTGTTAAATATAATTAGATATTGTTAACATTAATTGCTTAAATGTTGTTTTATCATTTGATAGTCCGTTCGTGAAATAATAGTAATTGTGTACCTAAATGTTTACCTAATATACCAGTGTTGATGACAGAAGACATCAAAGCTTGGAGGTGTTACCAATTCTTCTTGGCTTCGGTGGGTTGGGATTAAAATAAAACATATCAAAGGTCTTGCGCTATTTTTCATATTTTCAAATCGTTCATATCCAATGATGGCTAATGCACAGGTTAACATCAACTTTATAGAAAATGGAAGGGGTGGATACTATCTTCTTCATGCAGGCTACAAGTTTCCCGTCAGGACCAGACCTAATGATAGAGTTTATTGGAGATGTGTACAGAGACCATGCCGGCCACTAGCTTTGTGGAACCACTATGACAACTATGGCCCATGGACAACAAATCATGTTGGGGGATGGCACAGCAAGGTCAACAAGCTCTGTCAGCATGCGCACCCGAACATCTTTGCGGTTGTTCAGCTTCTGAAGAAAATTCAGACTATCGATGAAGCAAAGATGATCCAACTTTCGACCGGAGGTAAACCAAGACCAAAGAAGAGGAAATACCGCCACAAAGACTCTCGCCTTAGTCAACAGAAGGACCAATACAGAAATGGACAAATTGATGTGCTCGGTTATGCTGATGCTGCTTCCCATCGACTGCATTTACAGTAAAATAGTGAAATAAACTGCATGTGTTGCATCAAAAAAGAAATATCAGTTATGAAAAATTCTGCTGTGAAAAAAACATTATAGTACCGAATTGAATTAATTCCTTTCCTTTTGTATGGGAACACCTTTTATAAGCTTTTACCATTGAATTACTAATAGGTGTTTTTAATTCATGATATAGAGGATGCACAGAAAATTATCATACTCCTATTCAAAAGGACGTTTGAAATCTGGCTACTTTATGTGTCTATATATGTGTATATACATAAACAATTAAAATAGCTGAAAAATAGTAGCTATATGTGTACTTTATGATATTCCGATGTTTTTCTATAATTTGAAATAGTAGCTATGTTTCTTATATATAGGGTATATAAGTAAGTGAATACTGTAAATGCATTCAATGTGAAATAAAAATACATGTAATTCTTAAATATCCAGAGTTATTTTTCTTTTGAAAGTAGGAAGTTTTATGAAACAGTCTATAGCCTTACCTGTAATTATCTCCTATTGTTCTACCTTGCACACCTAGTCTCACCTGGCCAACAAAATACCTACCTGTATACCCCAAAAATCGAAATGGTGGCTAAGTGAGAAGACACCGGCTGACTATAGGGCCTCGGTTGGGAGTTACTAGGTAATCGTCCGCCTTCTGCCATCCCCAAGTAATGCTATATTATCACCATGCTTTAGTTCACATGTATTAAATTACACGAGGCCGTTTATCTAGATTAAACACAAACACTTTATAAAATAATAAATAACATGATAAAACAAGGTGAATGACATGAACCGACTGAGAGGTAAAATATCTTCCCTTACCGTGTAACCCAGTGAGTCCATGGTTGATCTTCTCCGCTGCTGGTGCAATGCGCCAAGTTGTATATTCAACAATCACTCATTAAATGTCAAGGCCGTGCTACCCGTATTTGTGTTTTCTAGCAAATCGATCAATTCACATAGTGTAATGTTGATATGGTCCATTGCACTAACAAGTGTGGTTAAATTTAGACACGTGACACACAACAAAAAGAAAACCTTTTAAAGTATTTCTATTGCACAGGTTATGTGGAAGTTGGTCGAAAGGAATATAATTCTCTGAATTAACACCTACTTTGAGAAGTAAAAAACGATTTCGTTTGTTTTAGGTTACTGCTAGGATTCACTTATAAACAAGATTAAAATAGATTTCTCTTATATAAGATTTTGTTTTTGACATTTAATGCAGTTATTGACAATTCTATCAGTTTCAATATTGATTTTTAAGTGATATTGGAATTTACACAATTACCTTTAGATAAAAAAAACGGTCTTTCCTTCAGTCCACGTTGGCCGTGTCGCTTGCGCCACTCGTGACGGTTTACGCGCCGGTAACCATAAAAGAGACAAGCGTCCGTCTTAGTCCCGAAGGCCCTAAAGGCTCTCCAAGAGGTAACCAGCACTCAAGGCCACCTTATTTATCTCTTGATTGGAGATCTGTGTGTAAGACGAATAAAGGTAATACAAGTATAGATATAGGTGTATATGTTTGTTAATTTCATTTAAGATGTTGTCATCCAGCAGAGGAGAAACAATACCTTGTAGAGATTTAGTCTAATCCAAGTCATCCTGCTGCGTTTACACCCAGACAAGCTTCATCGAATTGTTAGGAAGGAAGGAAAAGATAGGACTACCAAGGATAAAGTAATATTTTTCGACAACGAAGCATACCCTCTTCAGAGAGAATTTTAAGAGAAATCACGTAGTAGCTTCAGGGATTGACATCCAGTTGGACGGTGATTTAAAGGACGTAAGGAATAGAGCCAAATACAACAAGGGAATATAGTACATCTTGGTTTATTTCCAGATTCGGTTTCATGGCACCGGTAAAACAGAATCTTCTGTGGTGGAAGAACTGAAGTCGCCCTAGGAAGGAAGCCGACTGTTATCAGATGTGACAAAGGATCTTAATCTAAAACAATTGGGGTTAAAGGATATTTACAAAGCGTGGAAGTGAAAAAAATCTTCATCAAAAATTAATTAAAATCGACTTTTGCCGAGAGAAGTATCCAGAACATAAAAAAAACCGAATGTAAAGGATGTTCATGACTCCTCCTCCTCCAGTGAATGAGGTAACGTAGCACCTTTGGACGCCAACAAAAATAACGAAGAAGTGCACTTGAACGCCTATTTGGTGTGAACCAAAACGAAAGTGAAACCAAAGGAACAAAAAATAAATACAACAAAAGTAAACAGGAAGAAACGTGAGAAACCATCGGTTTCAGCAATCTTCTCTGATGTAAATTGTTCGGTACACCGATGCATAATATGTTTTCAAATACAACTCCACCATCATCTCATGAATGCATCTCGTCTTCTGTGGAATCCTTTTGATGGCCAATGGAAATTTCTTTCACTGTAAACTCCTTAGATTACGGTTGTTCACTACGACTGTCTTCGCCTAAATGACCAACATCTTGCTATAAATAATTTTTATACTGACTGAACACATTGGTAGCAAAAGTGATGATTCAGGAGTGGATAGTTTTTAATCTACCGTAAGACAGTCATAAGAGTGAGCGACAGCGTGTTCAAATTGCCGTAGAAAATATTGTGGTTTCCTTGGATACATTTACTTGGCTAATGTTGAGTTTTGTAATTTATCAACAGAGTTATTGAACAGAACGAGGAAGTGGCATTTTTTTCTGTGGGTAGGATCTTTGCTCAAGTACAGATTCTGGTTGATAGCTATGGACTGATATATTTCTATGATGGTTTCCTTCAGTGAATAGAACATAAATATGAGGATCTTTTGAAGCTGTAGACAGGAGGTCATCTATCACGATCAGGTTTCTCATGCTAACGTCTATTCTTCGTTTATATCTATAGGGATTCCTTGTATGAACAATTGTCTTGATGACATCATGCAA